GATTTGATATCTGAAATTTTCAAAAAATACATCAACAAAACCCATCAATTTAGGGTGCATTTATGGATGCCCGATTTCTTGGGTTAAGATTAAAAGAAAATTAAAAAACTGTTGAAATTGGAATGCGTTAAATGTTGGTTGATTTTTATGTTAATATTTTTTTGTAAATAGGCTGTCTTTTTATATATTTATATATTTGAGGACACTTACAATTTTCCTAAACTATTTTGAAAAAAAAACATGTATAAAAAATTTGTATATTAAAGTGTCGGGGTCAGACAATGTAAAATTATTTTGTATAAGAGAATATAAATTTCATATTATTTTGTATAATAGAATATAAAATTTGTATGTTTAATATTAAAAACACCTAAAATATTATATTAGTATATGTAAAAGTATTCAAAATTTTCTATATTATTTTTAAAAGATATGAAGTCACCTACGACTTTTCTAAATAATTTTAGAAAAAAAACATATCTAAAAACATTTGAATTTAACATTATGTAAAAAGAAATTCTAGACTATTTTGTAAAAAAAGCATGTCTACGAATATTTAAATTTAACATCAATTATGTATATGTGTATATGTGTATATATAGACGAATATGTAAAAAAAAAACAAATGTCTAAACAATTTGTTTAAAATAACTAAAATATTATAAGGCTAATTTAATAAACACATACGGTCAAAAATCAGGAAAAGAAAAACAAATATCTACACATTAAATCAGATGTAATGTTTCGAAACAAATCAACACAATATCTGTTATTTTGTTAACCTAAAAATAGGAAAAAGAAAAACATCACAAAAACCATCGCATATATTATTTTGTTAACCTAAAAAATAGGAAAAAAAAAAACATCACAAAAACCAGCGGGCGATTTTTTTGTTAACACTATATCACTATTTATTTAATGATTTTAGAGGGAAAATAATGATTTTAGCTGTTATTTAATGATTTTAGAGGGAAAATAATGATTTTGGCAGGTATTTAATGATTTTAGAGGGAAATAATGGTTTTGGCGGGAAATCATAAAAAGGTTATTCTTTTAATATAATGATAGATAGATATTATTAATACTAAACTTTCCTTTGTTTAGAGATTTGTTTTAAATAAGTGGTGATACCAATCAATCGAGATATTATAAATCAAAATAACCTAAAGACAAACAATATTGTGTTAGGAATGTAATTATATATATGTTAAGATAAGATAGAATGCATCCAAAAAAATATTTTTGTAATTGTTTCCTTTAGATGTTTTAATTAAATTTATATTCAAAAAAATTCAAAATACATTTTGGCAGGATATTCAATTTTTTTTTAAAAAAAACTTACTTCTTTTAGTAATTCTAAAAATTTAGGCGGGATTTTATATTCTATTTTAGGTAAATGCCAAACCTTTTTTATATTTATATAGATTTAATCCACTATTCATCAACTTACATAAATTTAATTATCTATCATTTCCAATCATTTTCAATCATCTCTCTTTTACTTTTACATCAAATCAATTTTAATAATTTTATTCTAAATATTATTTTAATATAAATTCAAAATTTCATTAACAATTAACTATACCACCGCTTGAAAAAAAAAATAAAAAAATTACCATATGTAACTAAAAAAACTCACTTCAAATGAATTTATTGGTTTAGAAAGACACTCTGGACGTAAATGAAAGCAAGATAAAATTTACAATGGAGACTAAAACATTATCCTCCCTATATATAATTTCCGAATGCGCTGAGTCTACGTGGCTGCTTCTGGTGCTTTGGAATCCTACTTGACGAAGAATCATGCTTCGTAATTAGGTTTGGACAAATAATATTGATATATTAATAATTAATAATCTAGGTTCGGACATTACATAAATATTATTTATCTAATTTAGATATTTTAATATCACTTGTACTAATATATATAACCTTTAATTATTGCACTAAGTGACTAATATATCTCTGACTTTGATTTGTTTCATTCAATTAGCTATTGAATCGTAAATGTATTTTAAAAGTTGATAACTTTTGTATTTCTTATCGGTTTTACATATATTTTATATCAAATTAATCATCTTTTGATGATATTCGATTTGACATCCATATTGTATATATGAAATAAATAAATTATATTTATCTTTATAGTAATAAAAAATAAAAATATTTATTAAAATTTATTAGAAAAATAAAATTATTTATTAATTGATATATTTATTTTTAATGTAGTTATATGTTGTAAATTAAAAAAATATTATAATATAACACAGGTAAGTCGCACAAATAAAAAGTGTCATACTAAATATATAATAATATATATTTTTGTAAAAGGTATTTAAATTTTCAACTACTTTTTCTCATTAATTTTAAATTTTAAAAAAATAATTAGCAAGCACCCGTGTATCAGCACCCGTGTAATACACGGGTGTTGTACTAGTATAATAATAAAGACCAATCAAAATACAAAATATTTCTCATTTAATTGAGAACATCCGACATCATGAAAACAAAACACGCAAAAATCAAAATAACATGAAATAAAATCAACACAAAACTAAACACCAAAAACTAACACGTTGAATAAACCTTCAATTTTTTTTTTTTCAACAAACCTACGTATTATTACATATCAGCACACAAACGGCTCTCTCAATCTAATGATAAAGTCAAATAAGAAATTCTCAACTAAGAAAAAATCCAATTCAAAAGTTTGAACAACTATGTAATTACAAAGTGAAAATCAATATTATTATTGGAAGACGTTACGGTCTCGTTACAAAACAATTTCGTTGAAGTTTATAATCGTTAAATCAACTTGGTTACATGATGATCTTAGAACTATGATTGAAGATAGTTCTAATCATTGCATTTTCCCATTCATAATTTTGAAAATTATTTCACAATAATTTTTTCTTATTTACATAACTCAAAATTTTTCGTTAAGATAGTTTTTACCAAATAATTATATGAAATTGCACCCAGTAATTTCACTGGCCCAAAGTCCAGCAACAATAAAGAAAGCAAGAAATAATGCAAAAACTCAATATTAAATTGAACCCAATAAATAATCAATATAAAGTAGTACAAATAAAGTTGAAGCAAACGGATGGGGTAAAAAATCCATGTAAACGAGGGTAGACGGGCCAATTGCCGGGCCGGCCCAGAACTCTCGGTTCACCGACCTGGTACGGCCCTTAAAAAAAAACACCGTGTTCCAAACCAGCGGCCTGATCGGCCCGTCACGGACCGACGGGACAAAAAAAAAAAATGAGCTGGGACTGAACCACGACTCAAAGATCCAGTTCAACGAATGCGGGCCGGACCGAGACTGGTTCACGGGCCGATTCAGCCCGTGGACATGTCTAAATGAAGTATACGATAAGAAATCTTTGGTAGATAGCAACACTGCTACTGCCCTCTCTCTCCATCTCCATATCTATTAGGGTGTCTCCAATGGTTAGCTATTTGGCTAGCTATTATGACGTGGACAGGGGAAAAGTAAGAGAGAGAGTAGTCACTAGCTACTAACAAATAGCTTATCTATTTCACGTAGCCCAATATTATGTGAGAGGAGTATGTGGGTCCAATAGTGTAAAATAGTTATTTTTCTTATCTATCATTTTCTCTCTCTAAAATAATTCTTTGAATAATTTCATGGTTTTGCTTTGTTCTTTCTCTTTATTTTCTCTCTCTCTCACGCATATTCACAAAAGGGGTTTTGATTAAATGTACAAGACCTGCTTTTTGGTGCATAGAAAAGAACCTCATGCCCCTTTTGATGTGCGAGTGAGTGGTGCTATTTTCTCCTCTATTTACATCATTAATTTAAACTCCAACTCTCTCTCTCTCTCTCTCTCTCTCTCTCTCACACA